ACAGAGGACGTAACGCGCGTCCTGGATTTCACTGCTATCCACTATCCATCTTTGCTTACAATGCTTGTGAATTAAGACAATATCGAGGCAATAAGCACAGTATGCACATATGCCAATAAGAGACTGACCACTTACAGTCCTAAAACATCAATGGGAGATTCAAACAAACAATGCTAAGTGAATTTAAAACAGAGCTTGTTTGAAAATTGATTTTTTTACTTCTATTTGTGTATTTGTTTTACTTTTGGAATGAATTGTTTTTACCTGTTCGAGACTTATATATGTAATGCCTTTATGGTGAAACTTTTAATAATGTCGACGAAAACAAATTGGCATCCTTTTTATTTCATCGAGAAAAAGTCTACATCGTTCTGAATAAATGAAAGGTAATTGATGAATCTTCACCCATAAGATTATAGTGTGCGTGATTATCAATAAATGAAAGTAGTTCTGAAGAAAATATGGAGAGTTGTGTTTGTATGACCATTTTTACCCATTATTTGAGAAACACGTCTGTTATTGGAATAATAAGGTCAGGTATAGCTAAAGTAAAGCCATTTTTTGACCAATAACCAAGATAAAATAAGTTTTTTTCTGAACAACACTATTGTATTGTTTAATTGGTCAAGTAGCGGTAACCGACATATTTCTGTGTACTAGTTGTGGCGAACAAGAACTCAAGTTGGAGAAACTGTATATTGCTTAGTAAAATATGAAAACCATGCATTTAATACATCATTTTCACATCTTCGCGTTGTCCTTCACATATTCCATTATTCCTCTAATTCTGTCGTTCTTTTTGGATTCATTTTTGATTTCCTTTATATTCTCTTCAATTCAATCCTCTGTCGTTAGGTATTCTACTTCCAATTGTGGCTACGCATTACTTACATCTTTCAGCATCACAGATTATGCTGATCGTTGACTGGAGTTGGAAAATCCATAGGCATGATGATTCAGCATTGTGTCACATTTTGTTTGTTTCGCGGCCGAAGAAGACAGACATGATTATCTGGTTCATCTGTTGACGTAAAATCGAAGTTAATAGGGCAAGTACTAGCTTTTTACGAGTATAGCTTTGTTAAAAAGTATCAATTAACATTAAAACCACTTCTCAAAGCATCATGTCACTCTTTTTCAACTGTTTAATGCCGAGTCAATTTTTCATTATCCTCCAGCTAACTAGCTCTTTACTAGTGGCTCTTTTGCTTATAAACTTTTCATTTGATTGCGACATATTTCATATTAATTTTAATAGCTTCACAAAAGTGCTCTACTCTTGACAACTACTCACTTCAAATGTTTCTATATAAAAATCACATCACAACATATATAATGATAGGTTTTTTCATTTTAGTGTATTAGATATAATTTATCTAAAGTATGTGTTTTTATGTTACCCAGTGAAATATATATATATATAGTTAAAAAATAATGTAATCAGTGAAAGGTTAATTCAGAGGTTAAGTAAAACAGTTTGAAGGACTTTAGATGATAGAAAACCATAACTACCGCATTCGATACATTCAGAAAGATCAATGCTTGAACTTGTCAGTTGTCGTTCTGACTACTCAACTCTAATATTTCTGTTCGAAAAGTTCTATAGACTGACCTCGTGAAAATTTAGGATTCCATGTTCGTAACTATTTACCAGTATTCTTAAGAGGATAATGTGGTAGTTTGATTTAAACTTACATAGTCAATAAAATTTTTAGATTACCATTAATTAGTTAAATTTAATGATATCGTATACGTATATTCATATACTATACGAAAGTGAGTCATCATATCCTTCGAATAACCGAAACAACAGACTGATGGATAAAAATAAGTTTTGCATCGAAAGTAATAAAATTCACTCATTATCTACCTTGACCAGCCCTATCCTCAGTCATCTCATTTATGAGGTGATACAATTTGATCAATATACAAATCATCTGTCTTTATTTTCATAACTTTAATTTATTTTATTTAATTTCACTATTTAAACACATCTAAACAATTTGATGAAAGTTTACTTCATTTACTTCTATTGTTCAATAAAAGCAATAATGTGAACATAATACTAGGATTCTAGAAATATCTATGATAATTACATGAAGACTTATTGATTAAATTCCATAGAAAAGTTCACTTTATTTATCATACTCATAAATAAACGTTGTCTGCAACGTGGAAGGATAATTACCATGGTTTCGATGCATTATACGAACTATCTACAACCGATTTCGATTATGGGTAATTTTGGTCAAGCCCTTTTACTAACTTCCTTGACACATAATGTTATTAGAACAGGAACAATTCATCACTAAATTACATGACACACTCTAGCAAAAATGTTGATCGCTTAAATATTACTCGATGATTTATCATCCTCCCTATATATATATATATATATATATATATATATATATATATATATATATATATACTCAAGTGCTATTATTAGCTTTTACTTTGCTTTGCTGTGGCCTTATGCGATTTGACTATAAATTAGCCTCTGTATTCGCTCGTACACACATATTCTCCACTCTGCTACAAATTCACTTAATATGCTCATAACTTTTTGATCTGCGCTATAAACTAAAAAACTGTAGCTGCTGCCTTTTATTGCCTCCTGACTTCAAACACCGTTCAGATTTATATTATAACGGTTATCAAGGTGATTGATTAACGAACACGGACACTACAGCATGAAAATATCACTATGAATATTTTCTGTTTCATTTAAATAGTTATCTTGGTTATTGTAATAAAAGTCATAGGAATAAGGTTTTAAAAACATTTCTTTTAGAATTTTACTTTTATTCATCTTCATTTGATCCAATAACAAGTTAGTGTATAGTTGTATCCAACTAATAGTTTATAAGTAATGATCAGTTTTTAATTATTCTCTGATTGATATTTTAATTGGATAACAACATCTATGTTAGAATTATTTTTAATTCTCTTGGGATTTATTTATCTGACTAGCAAATCATATTTAAAAATTAAGATTAAAAATAGATTATTATTTTAAAAAAAAATTTAGATACTACTTAAAATGGATATATATACGGAAAGAGAGAAACAGAGTAACTAAATAGTTAATAAATGAGGTTTAGTTTGACAAAGACTTTACTTAAAAGAATTCTAAGGTTTCATTTTCTTTTAAAATCAACTTTGAGTTGAAATTCATTGGGAGTTTAATGCAGAGAAAGATTTAATTTACGCTAACATGCGAAGATACTATTTAAACATGTGTTACTTTAATTCGATGATTTATTTATTCTAAAGAAGTGGATTACATAAAGCCCTGAAATGTCAGAAATACAATTTTTCTACTAACTATTCACCCGGTTCTCAGTTTATTTGAAACTTTCAAATCTAACCTTGACATTGATACCAAACAATTTAATAAAGTTTTAGAAACTGTATGGTTTACTTCAAATGAACTGTTATCATTAACTTTTGGTGATATGATAAATGATTTTAGGAGTAATATATATATATATATAAGTAACGTTAAAAACTAATAATTGTATGGTTAATTAGTTGATGACTGAGGTTAAATGTCAACATATTGGTAGCTTAAGAAAACATGATCTAAACTCATATTATAAGTATATATGTGTTGAAGATGAATTTCTCTGTTGAAAGTACTTCCATAAGAAGCATGATACGCCCTCCATTTTTTTAGCGGTTAAGCGCTCGCTCGCGACACTGATAGGTTCGGGGTTCGAATCTTGCGAGGTGGGATCGTGGATGCGCAGTGCTAAGGAGTCCCACAATAAAACGAAACGCTCGTCCAATGCTTCTACTTTTTCTATGGCGATCTAGCTTCAAGTGATTCATGATCTCAACCATTAAAATTACAAAGTATTTTAACAAGTTCCCTTTTCTTATTTCTTAATCGATTTTTGCGATAAATGTTGAGTGGTCGCCAGTTAGATGTTAGCAGTTCAGTAGTCAACATCTGAATAATGTTTTTTTTTCGATGCATATTGCTAGCAACCACGATGTCTCTGATTGTGCTCTTTCCTAACTTGTACAGCGAAAGATCATGAACTTTTCAGGAACGCACCTGAATAGGTTATGAAACTAATAGGGATAATGATGTATTAAACCAAACAAGAAAACGGATAACTTGTTGAAATATCCAGGTGGCAGAAACAGATAGCTCAGGTAACAAGTTATTCATCGTAATAACAAGAAAAACTAAATCTACAGAATTATCACGCAATCAAAACCCCCCATTTTCGAAGTTATAAAAGCTTACATGTAAATGGATTTAGAAATGGTGATATATTTTTTATATTAAATAAAATCTTAATTTTAAATATTGTAGTACTAAATAAACATATAGAAACTGAAATATTTCAGTCTGGTCTAGACAAGGATGTCTAATGGCCCTATATCTGACTCTATTTAGATCGTATTGTTATTGAAATATACATCGTAATTATCCTCGTACAGTCGTGGTATGATGATATTATCGATGAGGTTATTAGCTGAGTAAGCTGCATTGAGTTCATTCGTCGAATGTATGGAGTATTCAAGGTTCTTCATCGACGTAGTTTGCTATGTTAGGTTCGTCGATGGGCTCACCACTTTGGTGGCCCGATACAACTGGGGTTAGATATCAGGCCATTAAAGAGGATTATTAATAATCAAGTGGATATTAGAAAAGGTTTTTATTTTTGTGGACATTTAAAAAAAAATTGATTTGTAACCAAGACCTTTGATCATATTTAATGAAAAGTCATGCATTGTCGTATTCCATTTATAACAGTCATTATCTATTATTATTATTTTAAAATATTCTCCTTTACCAAAAATTTTGTGCATCCCATAATTTTATTTTATCTAATTGATTTGGTTCCCTAATCGAAAAAAAATCTTAATTCAAATAAAATCGGTTCATGAAAAGTCAACTTTTACAAATAATAAGAGTGAACAATGTATCAATAAAACATGAAAGTGAATTATAATTTAAGTGTTTACCATAAAACAACACTCACATAATTTAACCATACACTTGTAGTTAGTACTTGATTTTTTTCATCTAAATCCAAAATTTGTATTAATGAAAGTGACATTTCCACAAGAACTTTTTCAGATGTATGCTTTACTGGACGACCAGTTATTCCTGCAGCTTGATATTTGTTTAATAAACGTTTAATTAACCGTTTCTCATCAGATAGTGTATAAACACCTAGAAAAGTTAAAATATACAATAAATAATTATTGGCTAATTAATTAAAGCATAAAATAATACACATTTTTTTTATAAATAACTTAATAAAATTAATTTTACGACTTATACAACCATTTGTGATTTTTGAGGATACCTTCCATCAGTCGATTGAGAATCACTCAAATTTAGGTAATATTTCGTTGGTTTCTACTTCGTTTATGACTTTCCTAAGAAAGAATAATCAGTTTCTCCTTATGTTTAGTCAGATTTCGAGCTTAAAACAGTATATGATGAAAAATATTTGAATAGTTAACATCACGTTTGTTTACATTTCATAATTTTAGTGTTTATTAAAAAGAAGCTAACTGAATGTGAACCTGAACTAACCTACGACCGAATTACATATTAAGCTGAAAGTTAAAGTCAAATGAGAACAAAAATTTGACTCATCAAGAGTGAAATGAAACAAAATAATACTAAGCATTTTATATTAGCAATAATAAAAAACTCCACCTGTAGCTCTTCTAGAGTTATTACCGGTCCCAAGCCCAGGTAATGGAGGAGATTAAGCATGGTGTCGGTAACCTTAACCTGTGGAAAAAAATCTTGCTAAAACAACGCCGACCAGATTAAACGAATAAAAACGACTTAAACTCTGCTCTGGGAGTTGAAGGGAGAATTATGACGCCTCAGGATGAAAGCCAAGATTCTTCAGAAGTCACGAGGCCTATGTCCCTTCTTACAACCAGAGCAACAATTTTATAGGCACATGGAACGTCCGGACAATGTGGGAGGCCGGGAAGACCATTCAAATAGCAACGGAAATGAGGACATGCAAATTGGCAGTACTCGGAACCAGCAAAACCCATTGGACACAAGCTGGACAGCAAAGGCTAGATACGTGAGAGATGCTGATGTAATCTGGTCACGAAGAGGAAAATGCTCCACATACTCAGAGAGTTGGTCTTATACTGTCCAGAGAAGCATGAAATTCACATGTAGGATGGGAATCTCACGGATCCAGAATCGTCAAAGCATCATTCAAAACAAAGAAGGGAGGAATCACAATGAGTATTATCTAGTGTTATGCACCCATCAATAATAGCAACGACGACAAATATCAATTCTATGAGAGGCTGTAATCAATTATTGCGAAGTGCCCAAGAAAGGACCTCACCATACTGATTAGTGATCTAAATGCTGAAGTTGGATTGGACAACACCGGATATGAAGATATAATGGTACGACATGGACTAGGAGAGAGAAATGAAAATAGGAAGAGATTTGCAAATCTATGTGCATTCAACCAATTGGTTGTAAGAGACACAATATTTCCACACCTACCTATAGATGTCACTCAACCAACTATGGGAGGAATAAGGACGACCACCAGACAAATCGAGTGGGAAAGCAACAGGACCTGATAATATAACAGCTGAAGCTCTGAAGTCAGACATAGAAGTAACTCCAAATACGCGTCACCTTCTATTCAAGAAGATTTGGGAGGAAGAACAAGTGCCACTGACAGACTGAAAAGAAAGACACCTCATCAAAATACCAAAGAAAGGAGATCTGAGCAAATGTGGCAATTACAGAGTCATCACACTGCTGTCAGTACCAGAAAAAGTTTTCAATAGAGTGTTGTTGAACCGGATGAAAGATTCAGTGGACGTCCAGTTTCCAGATCAACAGGCTGGATTCCGTAAGGATCGGTCGTGCACAGAACGAATCGCAACACTACAGATCATCGTTGAACAATCAGTTCAGTGGAACTCATCACTATACACTAATTTCATTGACTATGAGAAGACGTTTGACAGTATGGACAGGAGAACATTATGGAAACTTGTTCATTACTTTTGTGTTCCTGAGAAGATAGTCAACAACATACCGAATTCATACGATGAACTACAATGCAACGTGGTAAATGGAGGACATCTGACAGATGCAATCCAAGTGAAGACCGGAGTCAGACAAGGCTGCTTACTCTCTCTTTTCCACTTCCTTCTGGTGGTCGACTGGATTATGAAGACCTCGACATCTACGGTAAAGCATGGAATACAATAGACAACTCGGAATCAATTATACAATTTGGACTTCACAGATGACCTGGCTTTTCTATCCTATACACAAAAACAAATGCAAATAAAGACAACAAATGATGCATCAGCCTCTGCATCAGTATGCCTCAACATATGCAAAAGAAAAGGCAATATTCTCAAATACAACATGGAGAACACCAACCCAATCACACTTGATGGAGTAGCTCTGGAAGATGTCGAATCTTCCACGTACCTGGGTAGCAACATCATCGTTGAACAATAAGGATCCGATACAGACGTAAAGGTCAACTAATTTCAAAGTGAGGATCTTCAATACGAACGTCGAGACAGTCGTACTGTACGAAGTTGAAACGTGAAGAACTACTACGACCATCATCAAAGATGTACAAGTATTTATAAACAGTTGTCTACGCAAGATACTCAATATCTGTTGAGCGGATACCATCAGCAATTACGTACTGTGGGAGAGAACAAACCAGCTTCTATCTGAAGAGGAAATTAGGAAAAGACGTTGGAAGCGGGTAAGACATACATTGTTGAAGTCACCAAACTGCATCACAAGGCAAGCGCTAAAATGGAATGATGAAGGGAAGCGCAAAAGTAGAAGGCCAAAGAACACACTAGGTCGAGAATTAGAAGCAGACACTGAAAGAATGAATAGCAACTGGAAACAACTGGGAAGGATTGCTTTGACAGGGTTGGATGTAGATGTTGGTGGGTGGTCTTTGCTCCTCCACGAGGGGTAACAGGTGTAAGTAAGTAAGTAAGTGACAGCAAGAAATCCTTTAACAGAATATTGATCCTGATTTCAAGATAACAATTGAATTTCGATCTTAAAACTATCAATAATGTTAATCTGAAAGCCAATTTTTACCATAGCAGTTATTTATCACGTTTTCTTTACTCGGTAAACAAACAAATGTACTGATAATGTAAGGTGATGTTATTTTGAGAAAACATAAACTTTATAATAATTTAAATCAGTTAGTTTCTTTGATAAATATAGATAATACAATTAGCTGGCAAAATTTATTAGGACTGTTTGATATTATCAAGTAATGTTTTAACATGATTTTTGTATCCATTTTTATGGGTACTATGGGAAAATAAATACTTAAGCCGAAGAAATCAATATAATTCATTTTGATCAACTCGAGGTGTACAAGAAAATTACTTTTGTTATGAATATTGAATTCGTCTTGATTTTCAACAACTTGATAAGTAGCTTTATGAATCAGGATGTTAAATAACTTCAACTTCTACCCTTGCCACCGTCTTGATCTATGAAATTTTAACTATCATTCAGTACTAGAACAAACGTAACACTATATATAGTTCTTCATTTTTATAAACATGAATGATAAGCGTAGCAAAATAATACGGCCCAAAAACAATGGGACTAACAGTGAAAAATAAAATAAACATATGTACTTGATAGTAAAATAAGTCCGATTAAAGTTACATTTGAGACGTTGACGTAGAATGATAAAAAGTAACAGTTATGGAAAAATTTTAAAATCGTTGAAGCAGATGTTTACTTTTTCCCAAAAATATTTGGAAAAATAAAATTGAGTAGGGCATACAAATGGAATCCTAAAAATGGAAGATTGATGTCACAGTTGACATATTACCTGACTAGCTCAATGTAGCTCAGAAAAAAAGCAAGAAATAATAAATTACATTTAAGGTTATGAATAAAATTTTGTATAAAAGCCTGTATAATTAGGGTCACCAAGACAAAGAAAGAAATATGAGTCTCAATTTCTGGGTTTATTACACAAAATCTGAAATTCGAAGAACAGTATGTCCAATTATGGAGAACGAGAATACAGGTGCGGTCAATTGATGTACGTTTATACAAAACTGTAGAGTTTCTTGGTAAAATATAAGAACCATACACTGAATACTTCACTTTCAAATTTCTATCATTTGTCTTTCACATTCCATATGATTCTTTCAGTCCACAATTCCTTTCTATTTTCAATTCTATTCTCTTGAATTCGAGCTTCTTAGCCTTCTTCTGTAAGGGTTTCCACTTCCGAATGATGTTAAATACTGCTTATGTCTGTTAACATAAGTAGCACACACCATACAGTTATATATGAATATTCGTTTATTGTTTCAGTTCCACATACTTTATTATACATTGTCACTAGAGATCTCTTTCTGTTACACCAATAGTGTTTGGAGCACACAAATAATTTTCTGATCATTCATTTGATTTTGAAGTGTTTTTTTATCTAACAATATAGTCACACAATGTGTATGTGTAAACATACAAGACATTGGAATTAAAGATCTCTTAATGAGATGAAAAAAGAACCTAGTTTGTTAGATTATTTATTAAATCGATTTGCTTGTCTTCTAAGTAAAGATAGTAACTGATTTACAGAATTTTGTCTAGATTCTTTTTTCTTTATAAATTATTTAAAATAAATCAGAATAATAGGAGAATATGAAACTTTTTTTTGTTACAACATAAGGAAGTACACATTGAAGAGGAAATAGTTTAAAAAGCTAGAGAATAATGAATCGACTTTTCAATTGATTATTACTGTGGTATGTGCTTCTGATGTTGACAGATATAAGTGGTATGTATCATGAATAGAAAGTGAAATATCTGTTAGCAAAAGCTTAAGAAGATCATAGTAAAGAGAACAAGAACAGAGAATGATCAGTGTGAAAGCGGAGAAACAATGAAATCTGAGACGACTGGTTGACATTTTACTAAGACGTTCTGTAATTTGGGTGTTCAAATACATTTGATTGTCCCCATTTGTGTTTTCGTTCACAACATTACTAGTCACCTTTTACAACATTAATTATTAATATTATCTTTTTTGAATAATTCAGTCTGAAACATGTTTTTCCTTACTTACTTACTTACTTTCGCCTGTTACTCCCAATGGAGCATAGGCCGCCGAACAGCTTTCTCCAACCCACTCTGTCCTAGGC